AGGTGGCAAAAGTGGTGGAATACAAAGCGTTGCGGTATAAATGTTCTTTTGTTTTTAGGGCATGTAGAAGCATGATTGTAATTGTATATATGTAGGTATGTACATGTATACAAACATACATATATAAACTTACAGATAGGGACCGAGAACGAATGGTATGATTGAAACTAAAGGTCGTTCTCGTAGTTTTGTTCCCAAGAACGCCTCAAAATCCAAACCAAAATGAGAATAAAACTGTCGAGAACGTTCTCAATGGGAATTATATAAGAAAAAAACCCTGTGGAACATTTCCCAAGAGAATATAATGCAAACAACACTTTCTTCAACATTATTAAGAAAACATATCATTGTTCCATAAATGGACAGTTCACCCTAATGACAAACGATCTGGAAGTTTTAAGGATCTAGACTTCCTCTGACATAGTATTAACAATCGTGGTTCTCATTGAAACGATTTTCATCCCAACACGCAGACGGGGAGTCTCATTCTTAACGATAAGTTCTCAAAACTTTTGTCCTTTTTTTATTCTCTAGCGGGACGTTCCTCGGACTTTTGTTCTTATTTGATTATTTTTGAAAACGTTATCAATACTTTCGTTCTCGTTTTGTTCTCATTAGAAACGTTCCCGAAAGTTTCATTCTTATTTTGTCCTTCTTGAGAACCTTCGCGAAAGTTTTGTTCGCATTTTGTTCTTTCCGGAAACGTTACCAAAGCTTTTGTTCTCATTTTGTTCACGTTCAAACTACTCTCAATACGTTTGTTCCCGTTTGGTTCTTTTGTGGGAACGTTCTTGACATTAAATTATGTTCTCATGCAGAACTAAACCAAAACTGGAGAGCGTTCTCGGTCCCTGCTTATAGATACTACCTAGTACTAGAAAAAAACAATAAAAAAACATTTTTTTTAGTTTGAATAATGCAGATATACGTAAAAATGTGAGTATGTAAGTACATTCTTAAACATATTTTTATGATATGTAGAAACGCATTCACTGGCAAACATACATACATACACCCAATTGCAGTTAAGGCAGAAATAGATAAGTACATATTTTTTCTTTGCTGAGGAAATTAAAGTTTTAACTCCTTATGTACACAAATATAGACCATTTTTTAGTTTTAAATGAAAAAAGCTTAAAACAGAACTGGAGGTCTGGATTTTTTAGTTGCGATTCTTGGACGCCAACATTGCCCGTGTAATTCGCAAGATATCGCTAGCGATGAATTTAAAATTGGATCTTCCGAATGGTCTACCTGCATAGTAATCACGGCCAATATTTGGATGAAATTAAATTTTAAAGGGAAATATCAGAGATTGTTCTTGCGGGTAAAGATTCTGACATCCAGTTCTGCTAAAGTTTTTTTTTTTTTATGTTAATTTAAACAAGTCTAGATGGATCCCCCGTTACATTTACACTGGGAAAGAAAAACCATATTCTCTTTGTTTCAAGCTATATCAAGCACATATGATTGGCCCCAAACGAACTTTTGTTTACTTTAAAAAAATGTATTTTTGCATATTTTTTCGTTTGAATAAGATTTTCTTCTGCACTTCACAGACGCTTTTTCGAAGCCCGACCCTACTGAGAGTTAACAAATAGTAGCAAGCATCTCCGCACACTCAGCTCAACCACAATATGTATGCAAGTGAATCAAGGCCAAATCACGCAAATGGCGGTTGTTTGGAAATTTTGTTTTAATGAGCTGAACTGATTCTTGGTACAAATTTTCAGATAACACCATTCTGTATCGATCACACGTTTAAGATTGTTAAAAAAATACTTTCTCTGTTCAAAATTTTTAAACCACTAGCATGGAAAAACCAAAAATGACCCTGTTTGGAAAACTCATGTTACTTTTTTCTTAGTGTGAGCTCTTTTTTATACAAGACACTATCCACAAAAGAAAAATAAAAATCAATGCGATTTCGCAGCAATTTAAAACTTGCTCATTATTATACTAAAACTTAATGGGCTTCAAAACTGCGTTCTCAAAATTTCTTTGTTATCCTCTTTAGAAGAGATATGGATCAGACAATATTTTTGACCGCCCAAATCGAATAAATCTACCTGTGTGCAGAGCTTTAGTAAACACAATGTACAATTTATCTTATTTCTTACAAGATTATATATGTAAATTTCAAATTATCGGTTGGATGCTTGTAGGTCATATAGCTCGAACTTTGAGGAGTCACTCATAGGTGAAACGTATTAGATGTCTCGTTAATTTAAGCTTATTTGACAAGTTGACCCTAATCGCCAGTCCCCTACCAAAATTCTATATCCGCCACTGAGGCTGATGCTACGGTTCCGATATTACGTGATCCGATTCAGCGGCCTAAACCGATTCTGGTGAGATTAATATCCGATCGATATAAAAAGAGCTCAGTTAATGAGAAATATGCCTGTGAGAGAATTTTGTATGGGATTTTTTGGCTATTATCTTGATAGAAATAAAAATAATGTTTGTAAATAAAATACATAAATTGAGGAGCAAATAATGACTACATCTTGCAAATTTCACATTTCAATTTTCCCCGTAAATATGTATATATACAAATACATTTGTATCTGGATAACGTGGATGACTTCTAATGTGGATAGAATGAAATTCCGACGACCTCCTTGCATATGTACGAAGTAATGTTTTGGCGTTTCTTGCAGCTGATATGGGGCGCAATATGAACGACTACGATCATATGAAATGTGTATGAAATTATATATTTCTAAAAGATACTTACTATTCTCCATATAAGTTTTAGCTTTGTAGCCACCAAAGTGGTGCGAGTAGTCCGATACGAAGTGCAAACCCAAATATGAGCCTGTCGAGACGTGACGCAACAACTTCAGTTTGGAGCTCCAATCACCGCATAAACGTTTTGGCAACGCATTCGAATTCACATTGCCGATTGCGGAGCGCATGCGATTGTGATGATTAGCTGGATAGTTGGGATTCCCTCGTGGATAGTCCGGTGTCTGTATTAAGTAATTCGTGTGCGGTCGGTAGAGACTCGAGAAGATGTGTAGCAATTTTTGATAATTCGTTTGCGCGAGATTATAGTTGTTATAACTATTCGAATACAAATAGTTGGTGTTGTAGTTTGCATTTGCGTTCACATTCAAATTCATATTCGCCTCCATATGTATATTATTTACAGCATTCGCATTAGCATAATTAGTATACGTATTAGAATAGGAGTTTGTATTAGAATTACTAGATGTAGATGTAGATGTAGGCATAGTATGCGATGAACTAAGGCTAGGTTTCTCATAAGAACTTCGCTTTCGAAAGGTTTTACTTATGTTAATACTACTTTTAGTGCTATTATTTATATTTAACATGTTTTTGTTTTTGGAAGATTTTGTAGTCTTGAAATTATCGTAGTGCGTGGGTTCGGTAATTTCCAAATAGTCATAGCTACAACTGCAAATTTTTCGATAAGATATCAGAAAATGGTTTCAAAAAGTTGGTTGAAATTAGAGTCATATTTATATATGTATGTAAGTACTTACCCCGCTTCATTCTCGATCACAAGCTCCTCAAATTCGATGACAACGCGATAGCCCGTTGGCGCTGTTATTGTTGTAAAACAATTAGCATTGTCAGGATATTGCCGTGGAAATGAGGGACTCCAAATGGCGGCACGCGGATGCTCCTTTGTCAACGAGACAGTCTTATTGCAGTCATTTATCCAGCTGCGACGCAAAGAGTCTATGGAATGTGGAAATAAGAAATATAATATTGCGATTATAAGATTCTGGAAAAATGAGAAGAAAGGGCAGAAGCGAAACTTGTACTAGTTTTTAGTCGTGACTCAGGTTAACAGAGAGTCAATGGAGTTCTCAATATCATTCGATTTTTTTTACTTCCTCGCTGGATGGCCTATACTAGAAAATTAGTTGATATGGGTAAATCTTTTACATTGGCCTTTCCGGCAATCGCTGTGAAATTCAACAATATACAGTTCAATAATACCAAGAGATTGAGCTTTCTGTGTAAGTAAGAAGAGTCCTGGACCAAACCAGGAAGAAAAACACTTGAACTGCTTTTGGACACGCACTTCCGTAGTAGGTTCTCAGGGAAAATCGCGGTCGACACTCATACGGGAAGATTGATTAATTTAGGAATCTGTTAGCAGAGAGAAGAATATTTGGGCAAGACAGAGCTTTAGACCCCGCAAAGCTGAAACTTCGCATGGAATCGCAGCTGGATGTAATGCTCCAATTTTCTGTAGAAGGACTCTTGATTCGGTCTAGTGTATGTTTTACATAAATTTAACTGCATACCGATATTGGCGAGTTGCCTCGGCAGTTTTTAAGCACAAGGGGGATCTCAAACACATTCGTCTTTCCTCGTTTTGCTCAAATCCCTACAGATAATAGTCTACATTTCTCTTACTGTTCACAGTCAATTTTTGTCTTATGATCGACATTTCCATTAAAATGGCAAGTCCATGGAGACCATGCTTACATACTGCAAAATGTGGCCCAGTTTCAAGGACTATTGCCTTGTGGCTTTCTAGACACTGAAGGAGCATTCCATAACAGAATAACTGTGGACAAAACAAATGTCTTGAGACGACCTGGAGTAAACAAACCTCAGGTGGAGTTTTTAAAGGATGTGCTCAAAGCAGAGAAGTACCGGCAGGAGCATAATCGATAACCTAGTTTCGACATATGGTGCAAAAAGGTACTTTCAATGTTCTCTCGCCACTTCTGTGAAAACTAACTTAACATCGTCGGTTACCACACAGCAGCTAAACGAGCTCCGCCTAAGTCTCACGAATAAAGCCAAATTTGTATACTTAACTCTGAAGAGGAAGCTGAGCTAGAAAGAGGACAAAGTTCAACATTATGGGAATGGTTCTATAAACTCATTTGGTTTCCCTGTCTATCTTCTGGGAAATGACTGGTGGATAGTAGCCGGTGTGGATGAGAGGACAGAGGAGCGTATTACCACTCCATAGGACCTATGTTCGATCCCCGGCCCAAGCAACATCTAAATTAGAAAAAGTTTTTTCTATTCAATGGAAAACCTGTGGATGGATTCAAACTTGAAAGAGCTTCTCATAAGAAACCATTTGTCAATCGGAGGCGGCATCCCTCCATTTGTGTTATATGTAACATCAGGACGCACATCACAAATTGCATGAGAAGCTCGGCCAAACACCTTTCAAAAGGATAAGTGCAAAAATATTATTATTTTTAATTGAAAATGCATAAAAAACACGATGAGTTGAATCTGTAGGCAAAAGTGGCTTAAGCGGTATCGCATCGTAGGTATATCCGACAGCTTAGGAGTTTAAACTGACCCTAGCCTTACCAGAGCTGTAAAATGATTGAATCAGTAGGATCTGCATTCACTTGGCACTCGTTTCAAAATTTTTATTGTTTGGCTGTATAAAAAAACCTCATTCCTGAGTGGCTTAAATTATTTTGAAACAAAAACACGTAATGTTTTGTTGAATGGCTGAGTTCCATTCAGTATTGAATGTGAATGTAACAAAAGTATTCGCAATCATCGTGATTGTAAATTTTGGTTGAATGCAAACAGTTTTGATCATTCAGTACACTGAAAAAATATGCCTTGAAGAAAATATTTATAGGAGAAAATAGTCGTTTTACTTCTGCTTTTGTACTACTGCTATGGTTAAGCATTACCTAAGACCAGAAGTACGTACCAGCTTTGGATGTTCTGTCAATGCTGTTTAAAACCAACTGCATGTTTTTAAAGGAAACGTGCGGTCAATTTTATTTAACGAACTAAATTTTTATTTGTACAAAGAGATATTTTATATTTCTCAATACCAGGCGCTCATACATATGAAGTAGCAAGCATGATACAAAAAAGAAGGTAGTTTCAATAAACAACTTTTTGATTAAAAAGCAGATTTTTGACAATTGCTCAATTGTGAAAAATTCGAAGCGGCGTTACCCAATTGTAAGTTTGTTGGTGTGGGAGATTTTATATTCTTAATTTGGGATTATAAATAAAAT